CAGATTTGTAAGGTAGAATTGGGATCATGATAGTTGGGGGGAGGAAGCATTTAGGAACTAGAGGAACGTTGTATGTTTCATCATTGCTACCCTGCACCCTGGCTGGCTCGTCTCCTCCCCGCAACCCTTCAGTAAGTGGGTGTCCAGTGCCTACCGATGGGCTTTGGGTCTCCAGTCTGCACTCACCCTCATTCACAATGATATGATTTCTTGTTCTTTGATGCCAAGACAGACCTTTTCTTTCGTGCAATTCTACCCCTGATATCACCGTGGAGCCCCACTCTTCTCGACCCCACAAGGAGTTGCCCTGAGTAGACATCAACTGATGGCAGCTGATTTACTGCTGTTTTAAGTTAGTTAGATACTCTGATACTTGGATGGGCAGTTCGGACAATTAAAGACTGGTCTTAATCAGGTTTGATAACTTAAGCTGTATAACAGACAACTTCAAAGTCTCCTTGGCTTACCCCAGCAAGTATTTACTTTTCACTTAAAGCATAGGAAGCCTGCTTGTTAACTGCTGCTTACTCTTTTCCATGTTGTTCATTGACTCTTCAGGTGTTTTTTTTGTTAATCGTTTTGTTAGGGGCTCATACAACTCTTATCACAATCCATACACACATCAATTGTGTAAAGCACATTTGTACACTCATTGCCCTCATGACTCTTCAGGTTTTATCTTTGTATCTAATCTGTGTCTTTTGTAGACAGCATATTGATCATGATTGGTTGTATTTTCTTTATTATTATCTCTTCAATAGTGCTTTAATCCATTTGCCTTCAGTGTGATTAGATATAGCTACAAATTAACTGCTGTCATTTTTATTGTCCTTTTAAAAAGTTTATTTTCTTTAGGGTTACCCTGGAATTTACTTCTATCTTCATTAAGATGAAAACAATCACTTATGTCTCGATGTCACCTTGACTTCCTCTCCGTGTAGGGGGTTACTGGTTCGCCCTTTTTGCCTGAAGCTGTCATCATTTGGCCGTCTCTGGTTCCGTGTCCTGCAGCTCTTTAGTCTGCTATTCTGTGTCTTAATCTCAGCTTGCTGTCAGATGCTAGTTCTCTGCCCAAAAGAATCCCTCTCTTGACATATTGGTCTGGCTTTTACAATCTCCGTGCATTTATGGAAATGTCCTTATTGTGCCAGCGTATATTCAGAGCAAACTACGTTGGGTATACACTCATGATTAGCATTTTGTTGTTGTTCCGCTGTTTATATATGTTGTCCCTTTGCTTCCTTACGCGTATAGTTTCTGCTGAGAAATCAGAGCTTAATCTTGTTGATTTCCTTTTTCAAATGGCGTTTTGTTTTTTCCAAGCTACGTCTCTCTTTGTCTGCTTTTAGGAAGTTTGATGACGAGCAACCTTTGTGCTTTTTATTCAGGTTATGTCCTTAATGTGGTTTGTTGTGCTGCTTGGGTGAGCAGCTTCTCATCTTTCGTGATACCAGGGAGCTTTCTACCAGCAAGTTTTCAAACATTTTCTGGTTTTGAATCCTCCTGTACTAGAATTCCCATCACATAGAAGTTGTTAATCTTGTAGTGTTCTTAATAAGTTTTAAGCTTTCTTTATTTTACCTTATTCTTTTTTTGATTGCTCTAGTCATGAATGTCTATTATGGGATTTGTTCTCTTGCTCGTGGGTTCTGAACTCTGTTAACTATGTTTTTCCCTATGTGTTTCTGTTATTGGCATTGGCTACTAGCCACAAGGTCAGTGGTTCAAACCACCAGGTATTCCATGGAAGAAAAATTAGATTATCTGTTCCTGTGAAGATTTAAAGTCTCAGAAACCCAAGTAGGGTCACCAGGGTTTGGAATAAATTCAATAGCAATGGGTTTAGGG